TCCTCCTCCTCCTCCTCCTCCTCCTCCTCCTCCTCCTCCGCCTCATCATCCTTCTCTTTCGTTTCCTCTTCATCTTCCTCTTCCTCACCCTGCCTCCTTCTCCCTCCAGCCTCCCTCTCCCTCCTCCCGCCTCCCCCTCCCCCCCCATTCCTCCCTTCCTCCTTCCCTCACAGTCGCCCTCCTCCCACGCCGCGGCCTGCCCACACAGTACGGGCGGCCCTCCCGGGCACACCGCGGCGGCGGCCGCAGGGACATCGCCGTCCCCGCGCGCGCCCCGGGCCCAAATCACTCGACCCCGTACCTGGCCGCGGGGCGACGGCCGCAGGGCTGGCAGGCAGGCAGCCCGATCGAGCTCGTGCTCGGCCCGGAGACGGGCGTGCCTGTGCCGGACCCCCAGGCATCACCCGGGGCTGGAGCTGAGCAGCGCGTTTCGTTCTCGCCCTGCCCTCGTTCTCCGTCGTCCAGGCGTCGCTCGCCCCCTGCCGCGACGCGAGATCGGAACGCGAACGGCCCACGAGACAGCCAAGACACCGTTTGCCTCACTGTTGGCGCCCGGGTGAAGAGCGGGCGACATCGCCCTCGCGCTCCTCCTCCTCCTCCTCCTCCTCCTCCTCCTCCTCCTCCTCCTCCTCCTCCTCCTTCCTCCTCCTCCTCCTCCTCCTCCTCCTCCTCCCCTCCTCCTCCTCCTCCTCCCTCTCCTCCTCCTCTCCTCCTCCTCTTCCTCCTCCTCCTCCTCCTCCTCCTCCTCCTCCTCCTCCTCCACACTCTCCTCCTCCTCCTCCTCCTCCTCCGCCTCCCCTCCCTCCTCCTCCTCCTCCTCCATACCCTCTTCCTCCTCCTCCTCTCCTCCTCCTCCTCCACTCCTGGGTGACCCTGTGAGAAGTTTCCGCCACAGAGCCCGAACTGGGCTAAGCAGTTTCAGCGGGCAAGCTCCGAAACTTACTGAAGAAGAGGATGATGTGGCTGACAGTCTTCACGATGCCTTGACGCCCTCGGCCGGAGGCCGAAAAAGTAGTAAAAGGTGTGGAAGAGACCACCCTGGAGCCGCCGCGAGGCCACCCCGGGGTGGAATCAACACTGAAAAAGCCAAGCAGGGCAACCAGCAGCTAAGCAGTTTCAGGCCGGCAAGCTCCGGAAACTTACTGGAAGAAGAGGATGATGTGGCTGACAGGCTTCACGATGCCTTGACGCCCTCGGCCAGAGGCCGAGAAAGTAGTAAAAAGTGTGGAAGAGACCACCCTGGAGCCGCCGCGAGGCCACCCCGGGGTGGAATCAACACTGAAAAAGCCAAGCAGGGCAACCAGCAGCCGAGGAGGAGACTACTGGCCGCCGCGCTGGTCCTGGCCCCCGTCTGTGTGAAAGGCGGTGGCCAAATCGCCAGCCGCAGTCAGGGATATCAGTTGTCAAGCTGATGAGTCAAGTAAGGGGCACGCTTAGGTGCCAGCGGGAATTAGGCTATACAAGCCGAGTATGGGCGAACCCCCCGAAGAAGAAGACGACGACGAACCGTACCCCCCGCAACACGGGACCCCCCCCTCCGCAGCCGCATCCCCTGCGCGAGCCGCACCACACCGGCGGGGATCCGCGCGCCTTATGCCCAGGCTCCCCCCCCGGAAGGGGAGCCAGCAACCAGGCGTCGGCAGATCGCAGCACAACCAGTGTAGATTGGGGCGCAGGGAGGAAGGCACGAAGCGGCCAAGGGATCGCGAGCGGCCCGACGAGTCGCCACCACAGGCATCCTGCCAAGGGTAGGCTACCGCGCTAAGGTCCTGCCCCTCGCCCCACGGCCTCTAGTTTTGCTTCGCCGGATGATGGGCCATTTTGTCACCTCTAAAGCCAAGGGCCGCTGCCTCACCACGGCCCTCCATCTGGAATACCGCGATCGCGACCCAGGGGTGTCTTTCCCTGTTAGTACTGTCCAGACGTGGCTCTAATTAATGGCCTCCTCGCCTCTCCTTCGGAAGCGGGCCATTCGAGTTTGGCCCAGAATTGCTGCCGGCCTGAAGGAGGCCCCCACTCAGCGACGCTGGCCAAAGGTCAACGGAATCATCAGTGGCACCATTCATGTTCTACGCTCGGCTGGTTGGGATCCCCAGGGGCCCTGGACCTGGAAGCATCCCTGTGGCGACCTCTATTCTATTTCGGAGGGCGTCTGGGAGCAGGACCCTGACTGGTCCACCGTCCTGGGGCTGGTCCGTGAAACTCTCCAGGTGGGCCTTTGGAGGGCCGCTGCCGAGCACCATAACGGTAGAGGGCTCGAGGAGGGAGCCGACACAACGGCCCTCCGAAGCCAGATGAGAGCGCTCGAGAGCAAGGGGGCCTAAAAGCTGCGGGGAGGTTTGGCGAATCTCTCCACGGCGGGTTTTGGTCCCTCTCGCGCCTCGAACAGGCTGGTGTGAAAATCGCGTCCAACTCTTGTCGACGTTGCCAACGGTGCCCCGAGACCAATGTTCACACCATCTGGGAATGTCCAGAGGATGAACATCTAGATGCATGCCAGCAGTCCAGCCACCTGGTCGATCAAGCACGTGCTGGCTATATCTCACATCCCTGCTATTGGCTACGTGGTCTCATCCCTGCCCCCTGGACCCGGCTGGATGAACCGACTGATGATCTGACTTGCTCGGTTGACCCTCGTGTCACCCCTTCCGACCCTTTGCCCCCAACCGCGTTTGCCCACCCAATTTTGGGGCCCCATCCTGAGGAGGTAGAATTTGGTTGGGCGGGGACGCGTCGGGGGGGCTCTACAGTAAGCATCCGCGCTTGAGACGTGGATGGTCTGGCCGACCACTTCTCGGACCCCGCTCAGGTCTCCAGCGGCCAGACCCAGTCCCTTTCAGAGCTCGAGGAGGAAGCCAATCTAATTCGAAAACGGATATTTGACATTACGGCCTCTTCCCCCCCCCAAGGTCCGTGCAGAGGGGCCCGCTGAGACGCCTGCTCCTCCTGCTCCTGTTTCTCCTCCTCCTCCTCCTCCTCCTCCTCCTCCTCCTCTTCCTCCTCCTCCCCCTCCTCCTCCTCCTCCTCCTCTTCGTGCTCCTGTTCCTCCTCCTCCTCCGCCTCCTCCTCCTCCTCCTCCCTCACTCCTCCCTCTCGTCCTCCCTCCTGCCTCCTCGGCGTATCGTGGAGAAGGGGCCGAAGGCCCACCCCCCTGGCACTTCTTCTTGAGCTTGTCGATGTCCGCGCGCTTCGACCTCGGTGAGGCTGCGGGCACCAGCGCCGCTCGCCAGGCGAGCGCCAGAAGATCCGCCCACTTGCCCCTCCCTCCTCCCCCGTTTCCTCCCCCCCTCCTTCCTCCATCCCGTCCATCCCTACCTACCACCCTCTACAAGTAAAACATCTAAATACCACTCTCCTTTCTGCCCTGACTCCGTCCAGAAGATACTCGGCCCTCTCCGCGTGCGGTGTTTAACACAACATTTCAAAAGCAACTGTTTCTCAAGGTTGTTACCATCTAATTGTTCTCGGTGCTTCAAAATGGTGTTCCCGCTAATTTTCGGATCGGCGCTTTGCTCCCATCGCTCAGGAAGAAGCTCTCGCCCCTGCGCAGAATCTGAATATTTCTTCGTCGTTGTCGCCCCCCTCATTTCCAATCCTCCGCCTTCGTTCCCCTGATCCTCCTGTGCCTCCCGCTCCTCACACTTCAGTTCCCGCTGCTGCTGCTGTTCGTCCTCGTCCCGCTCACCCTCCTCCTCCTCCTCCTCCTCCTCCTCCTCCTCCTGAGCATGGATTTCCCCTTTTGCGATTGCGCATCATATGATATGGTCTATTTGCTGGAGTTGCAGGTCGGCTATGGCACGTGTCCGTGGACAGATGAGAAACGAGTCGGCGCAATGGCAAGGGATGGGGCGGGATAGCATCTCAGATGAGGCGCGAGCGCACCAAGTTTGCCCCTCTCACTTATTCCTTCTCCCTCCCTCCTCCATCCTCCCACCTCCTTTCCTCCCTCCCTCCATCCCCCTCCCCCCCTTCCTCCCTCCCTCCAATTCCCTTCTCCCTCCCTCCTCCTTCCCCCCTTCCTCGTCCCTCCTCCTCCTCCTCCTCCTCCTCCTCCTCCTCCTCCCTCACCTCCTCCTCTCTCTCCTCCTCCTTCCTCCTCCTCTCCCTCCCTCCCCATCCCTCCTCCACCTCATCCTCCTCCTCCCTCCCTCCTCCTCCTCCTCCTCCTCCTCCTCCTCTCCTCATCATCATATCATCATCATCATCATCATCATCTATCTTCATCATCAACACCTTATCATCATCATATCATCATATCTTCATCATCATCATCCTCATCATCATCATCTTCATTCATCATCCTCATCCTCATCTATATCTCATCCTCATCCTCATCCTCATCCTCATCCTCATTCATCATCATCATTCTACATCAATGTGGTGTGCTTCATCATCATCATCATCATCATCATCATATCATCATCATCATCATCATCATCATCTTCATCATCAGCATCATAATCATCATCTCATCTTCTTCATCATACTCATCATCATCATCTTCATCCTCTCCTCTCCTCATCCTCATCCTCATCCTCATCCTTCGCCCTGCCCTCGCCCTCGTCCCTCGTCCCTCGTACTCGTCCTCCGGTCCCTCCTCTCCTCGCCTCCTACTCCTCCTCCCTCACTCCTCCTCCTGTCCCACCCGCCGCCGGGCCCGTCACCGCCCCCCCCCCCCCCCCTCCCCCCGACGACCGCCACTCGGGCTCAGGTCGTGACTGAGCCACTCCTGGCTTCCTCTCGCCCGCAGCTGTGCAGGTGGCCCACCCCGGTTTACCGGGCTGGAGGGCCGGGCCGAGTCCCAAAGCCCAATTCTCTAAGAAGCAAAAACGGCATAAACATACGCTTTTGGCGCTCCGCGCGGAGCGCCAAAAGTTGATGTTAAAGCAGTTGTTTTCTTCTTCTCAATTCTCCATCCCTCCCTGGGGGGGGGGAGGGAAAGAGATGGTCCGAAGAGCAGTCGCGGCCCGCGGGGCACGGGCAGGGACAGTCTGCAGCAGGCCGAGGTCCCGAAGCGAGCACGGGGGCAACTGCCGGAGAAAAAGCATACCCGGATACCCCAGCTGGAGCTACACACAAGGAGCCCAGCCCAGCGTCTGAGCCCTCACCTTGGGGAGGCCAAGACGTCAGGCTTGCCATCGCTCGGACGTACATTTCCCGTGCATTTTTCGGCTTCGTGCGCTTACCTTGTCGTAGGATGAGCCAACGTGCTCCTCGATGGTCCTCACCGAGAAAAAATCCACACACGTCCGAGCGATGCCAAGCAGGCTGGGCAAGCAGGGCCCAAGGTCCCTCCCCTCGCGCCAACGGAACAGCCAGGGCGCCCTCGCATCCGAGCCGCACTCGGGCACCGAAGTGGAGGGCCCAATGTCCTGGCTCCTTGGGTCCTCGTGCCTCTCCCTCCCCTCCCATTCCCTTCCCACTCCCTCTGCCAAGCCGGCGGTCGGGCTTGGGGGGGGGGGGGGGGCGGTTTGTGGGCCGTGGGCGTGGGTTTGAGTGGCTCGTGGTGTGCCCGGGGGCCCACGGCGGGGTCGGGTGTGGGGGGGGCGGTCTGTGGGCTGTGGGCGTGGGTTTGAGTGGCTCGTGGTGTACCCTGAGGCCCACGACGGCCCCCGCGCCGCTCCAGTGTTCTGTGCTGCTGCTGATGCTGCCGCCCGGCGATGTCCAGGCCGAGCCAGGAACCGCCCCCACTCGTCCGCAGAGGTTTCCCGGGCCGAGCCAGGCATCCCTTCCGCCCCAGCCCTCCGTTCGCATGGGCTCCGATGGACCCAAGAGGCGCCGCACTCGGTCGCAAGGCCAACAAAAACCCGAGGCACCCACCTGGTGCGAGGACGAGACGGTGGCACGCCTTCCCAGCTTGCGGCAGGTTCAGGTCGTGCCGACTTCGGCGGCTGATTCCTTACACCGCGAAGATCGTTCAACCTCAAACTCGGCAGCCAGCCCAGGGGGGGGGAGAGGGGGCGGGCCTTCTCAGAAGGCTCGGAAGTCCCACGGCCTTCTGAAAAATGTTACAAGCCTTCCCCGAAGACAAAGACAACCTCTCAAAGGCCGGAGGCCCTCTGACAAGCCCCGCCGCCTTCTGAGAAGGCCTCCTCCTTCTCACTTCCCCCCCTCGCTCGCCGCCGACTCCCAGCCTGCGGTCGGCTCGTGTCGTACCGACTGCGGCGCTGGCTTCTGACACCGCGCGGGTCGTTCCACCTTGAGCCATCGGTGGCCTTCCGACCGCCCGATCGCTGCAGATTGGCTGATATCCTGGGCCTCTGGCGGCGCTCTCCACCCGGAGCGCCCGCGCTGGGATCGCCGCCGCGTCGACACGACGAGAAGATTGAAGGGGCGCCAGGACACACAAATAAGCACACACAAACAAAACAGATCCCCATATTTTCCATTATTTTCTGGGTTTCTGTCACCCCCCCACTTCCCATATTTTCCCATATTTTTTGGGGAATCGACGATTAATTGTGTCTGTGTGTTTCTTTCCCTCCTGAAATAAGTTATACAATGTGCGGCTGTTCCCTGCGGGATCACAAGCCGCACTCCGCCCAGAAGGCCGGTGCAAAAAGACCCCATGCGAGAAGAGCGCCACTGCGCAGATCTGGAGTGCCGCCGCCGCCGCATGAGGCCCGCCCCCAGGGCTGAGTTCGCTCGGGGCCGTGGGCGAGGACGCCAGCACTCCCCAGCGTCGGCCCCGGAGCCAAGCTCGGGAACAAAACGGCCACACGCCGGGGCGACCCTGTGCAAGAGCGACCTTCGGTGTGCGACTTTCGGGGGTCGCGGGCGGGCCAAGCCCGAGCGCGCAGGCCGCTGCCGTCTCATCAAGCCCAGCCATCTGGGGGCCCCAGCGTGCCCGCGCCGAATAAGGGCACTCCTTCGCGCTGCCCAGCAGCTTTTGCCGCAGGGGCGCGAATCCTCGCCGCGTTCCCGAAGGCAGACTTGGGATGCACGGGGCCGACTCGGGCACGGCGGGCGGCTCGCGCTGCCGACCGAGGTCTCCCCTCGGCTCCACGCAAGAATGGCCCTGGGCAATGGTGACCTCTATGAGGGAGCCCTGGACACAAGTAGATACAAATAGTAGGATCCCCGGAACTTCCCATATTCTCTGGGTTTTCGTTTCCCCCCCACTTCCAATATTCCCCATATCTTCCTGGGAGTCGACGATGAATTGTGTCTGTGTGTTTTTCCCTATCCTGACTCTACTGCGCGGCTTCACGGGGGACGCGGGGCGGCCAAGCCCAAGCCCGGGCGCGCAAGCCGCTGCCGCCGATCCGCGCTCGGCGCGCGGGGGACCCCGCGGGGCCCGCGCCAGAGGCCACTCCGGCGAGAAAGGTCACTCCTGCGTCTAAAGTCAAGCCCCCCCCCTGGCCGCCGCCATGGCCGGCACGGGCGCGGGGGTGGCGCTCACCGCCTCCGGCGACGCGCACGCACCCAGCTCAGGCGCGCGGCGGCGCGCTGGCCGCGGCGCGCTGGCCGCGGCGCGCTGGCCCGCCCGGCGCCCGCTCGCGGCAGGGCCGGGGCGCTGCCCTCACAGAGGCCCGTCTGCGCCGGCGGCCGGGCATGCCCGGGTAGCAGCGCACGCGCCCCGGGGGCGGCGGCCGGGAGCGGGCGCCCTGGGAGCGCAGGGAGAAGAGGAGGAGGAGGAAGGAAGGAAGGAAGGAAGGAAGGAAGGAAGGAAGGAAGGAAGGAAGGAAGGAAGGAAGGATGGATGGATGGATGGATGGATGGATGGATGGATGGATGGATGGATGGATGGATGGATGGATGGATGGATGGATGGATGGATGGATGGATGGATGGAGGAGGGAGGAGGAGGAGGAGGGAGGAGGAGGAGGAGGAGGAGGGGGGGGGGGAGTGATGATGATGATGAGGAGGAGGAGGAGGAGGAGGAGGCGGAGGGTGAGGAGGAGTAGGAGGCGGAGGGTGAGGAGAAAGAGGAGGAGGCGGAGGAGGAGGGAGGAGGGAGGAGGGGGAGGGGGAGGGGGAGGGGGTGGAGGAGGAGGAGGAGGAGGAGGAGGAGGACTGCCAGGTACGCAATAGGCTTTGAGGGCACCTTGAACCCATCTTTAAGGATGAGGTGACCATCAGAACCCTTGTCAGGGTGATTACGGTTTCCCACTCACCCGCTGCCCAAAGCAGCATGCCGATGCAGGAAAGGAGTTGCAAAGGCTCTAGGAGGTCTCATCCTTAAAGTCTTGAGGATGGCAGAAACCAATCCTTTGAGTCAAATGGTTCCCGGGGATCTTAACGTGATCTTAACGCATGGGGAATGAGTGTTATGAATGGGCGAGGTGGCCACTGGCGTCCTACGTCCCCCACGGTTTCTGAACTCTCCCCCGCTTAGTTTCGGCCATCCTCGGAGACGGCAGCCGGAAGGGCTGCTCAGGTGCGCGGGAGAGGCTTCGCGCAAGTGATACAGATTGCTTCGGAGGTGCGCATGGCCCTTCTCAGGGCCTTAGAAGGGGCGGCGCAAAACCACGGCCTGGCTTTCGCCACCTGGGGGTCAATGTATTGGTGCACCCCCTATCCCAAACAGCCAGGAATGTCGGGGGTAAACAGGGAGAGAGATCCCTGCGACAGAGAATGTGCGATGCCGTGTATTGTTAAACAAGTTTCTTGGGAAGTCCTTGTCACACCCTGTTGCCACCAACCAAATAATTAACTGGAGTTCAGGTATACTTGGACAAAGTAGTTCATAAACCAAGTAAGTGCAGGACCGCCGGCATTGCCTCCGGGTTTTGTCCTGGAGGTCGATACCTCGTGATCTGAATGTGGGCAGTAACTACAGAGGACTGCGGGCATTGCCGCTGGGCTGTGTCCTGGAGGTCAATACCTCTTGTGTGCGAGTGTGGAAGTTGAGCCCAGCGCAGGTAGAAACGCGCCGCATTCGAGGACCATAACAAAGGCGGGACCGCCAGCATTTCCGCTCGGGGTCTACTATACCTCTGTTGTGCGAGTGTGGAGTGGAAGCAGGACCGCCGGCATTGCCGCCGGGCTGTCCCAGAGGTCGATACCTCCGGTGTGCGAGCGTGGAATGAAGGCAGGACCGCCAGCATTGCGCCGGGCTATGTCCTGGAGGTCAGTGCCTCTGGTGAACGTTGAGTGGAAGCAGGACCGCCGGCCTAACCGCCGGGCTGTGTCCTGCAGGAGGACGATGCCTCTATGGTGTAAGTGTGGAATCAGGGCAAGACTGCCGGCACTGCCGCCAGGTTGTGTCCTGGAGGTCAGCACCTCTGATGTGACGTGCGATTGGGGGTGAAAGCAGGATCGCCGGCATTGCCGCCGGGCTAGGCCCCGGAGGTAAATACCGATTCGCGCGTGGGATGAGGAGGAGGAGGAGGAGGAGGAGGGAGGAGGAGGGAGTAGGAGGGAGGAGGAGGAGGAGGAGGAGGAGGAGGAGGAGGAGGAGGAGGAGGAGGAGAAAGGAGGAGAGAGGAGGAGGAGGAGGAGAAGAGGAGGAGGGAGGGAGGAGGAAGGGAGGGAGGGGGGAGGGGGGGAGGAGGGGAGGGAGGGAGGGAGGGAGGGAGGGAGGGAGGGAGGGAGGAGGAGGGAGGAGGAGGGAGGGGAGGAGGAGGAGGAGAGAGGAGGAGGAGGAGGAGGAGGAGGAGGAGGAGGAGAGGAGGAGGAGGGGAGGAGGGAGGAGGAGGAGGAGGAGGAGGGGAGGCGGAGGTGGAGGATGGCGCACGCAGAGCGCGCGTCGCTCGCTACGGCTCGGGCGACCCTGCCAGCCGCGGTGCCCGCCACGGCGGGCGCCAACACGCGGCCGAGGGGGCGCCCCGAGGTGGGCCCCGAGGCCGCCGCTCCAGGGTGCGTCTCAGGGCTGAACCTCGTTTCCCTCGTTTTGTTTTCAACCCGCCTGTTGTTTGCGTTGTTTTCGTTTTCCCTCGTTTTGTCTTCAACCCGCCTTCACCGCAGAACGAAATCGAAACCAAAACGGCCTACGAAATCGCCAGAGCACCGTGTAGGTCCAGCCCTGGTGCGTCTGTTCTGGGGTACGTCTGGCCTCCCCTGAGACTCCGAGGTGCACGACACGGAGTGTATGCCATGCCTCAGCAGCCGCCTCGATCCAGAGACAGCCCGCCCCACTGGCCATCGCGCGGACGCCCGTTCCCGCGCATCTCTCGATTTCGTGCGTGCATGTTTTGTTCGCAAGATGGCCCGCCCAAAAGGCTCCTCGATGGTCCTCGCCGATGAAAAATGCACACGTCCGAACGATGCCAAGGTCATGTCACGCACCACTCGAAGACCACCAAAGGCCCTGCATTGGCCCTGCTTGGCTGCGCGCACACAGGGGTAGGGGGAGGGAGGCAGGCGTCTTGGAATGAGGCAAACATCGTGGGGTCACAGTTCGAGTCGTAAGATAGTCAAATGAGTAAGCGGCGAGGATGAAGCTGTCAGTTTGGAGCCGAATTTGGTGTCCTGGCCTCAGGTCCACCAGCCCTCTGGGCGCAGGTGGTTTAGAGAACTTTCTCTTCCACCCCCCCTCTTCCCCTTCGGGAGGGGTTTATCCCTCCCCTACCCTCTCCCCTGGACTTGGAGCCAATATAGCCCAAGATAGCTCCAAATGGCTCCCAAGATGCTCCAAGAGGCCCCAAGACCGCTCCAAGACGGCTCCGAGTGGCCACGGAGCCTCCCCAGGAGGCCGCCTAGAGGCCAGAATCAAACACGTAATTAGGTAAAATCAATGAATGCTGTCTTCTCGCATTCCTGCTCCCGACCAAAAGAGGCCCAAGAGAGCCCCAAGAGGGCCCCAAGAGCGCCCAAGAGCGCTCCAAGAGCGCCCCAAGAGGGGCCCAAGAGGCGATCTGTGGGGCTCCCGAGGGAGGGCCGTAACTGGAGCTCCCATCTGTTTCATCGGTCTACTCCAAGATGGCCCCAAGAGCGCCTCAAGAGGGCCCCAAGAGGCACCCAGGAGGCCCCAAGAGGCGCGGAAGAGGCCTCCAAGAGGCTCCCTGGAGACCCCCAAGAGGCCCCAAGAGGCTCTCCGGGGCACCCAAGACGCTCCAAGAGGTCCCAGGGACTGCCAAGGGACCCCCAAGACGCTCCACGAGGCCTCCACTGGGGGACCCTTCCTCTGTGTGCTGCCCACTGCCCTGATCGAGGCAACTCCTCTGGGCATCGTTTCTGGATTGGCTGGTGGGGTTACGCGAAGCATCTAGAATTACCTTTACGAATTTGATAGGAATCGTGGATGACAGATGCGAGGAAGAGGAGACGGATCAAGACAACAAGGATAAGAATGACGACCACAACAACCACAACGAGCACAACGACAACCAGTAGAATATGGAGGGTGAAGAGGAGGGCGACGACGGGGAGGATGACGCGGGAGAAGGGGGACATGGCACTCAGGGCTGGGGAGCAGGTATGAGTGAGGACTCACACCCCTAGGCAACCAATTGTAAACTCTAGCCCTGCAGGTCAGACTTCTGAAATACCGGCGGGGGGCCAAAAGACCCAGCGTCGCATGGTCCTTCACGGGCAGGGTTCGTATATAAGTGGTCGCAGAACCCCGCTCAATGGGGTCGGGACTGGGGGTCGGGGTGGTTCTCCGGGGTCCAAGGATAAAGACAACGCCCCCAACCCCAGTCTCGACCCCCTTGGATGGCCGGCTCGTGGCAAAGGAGTCGGGACTGGGGATGGGGGTGGGGCTTCGCCTTCTGCGCTCTTCAGGAACGGCCAAGAGGGGGGTGTCCAAGAGGGGGGGGTGCAAATCATGACCGGCGGCACGTGCGCGGCCCAGCCGGGGGGACGCAATGAAACGAGAAGAGGCGCCATGAAATGTGGGGACATATTATGGCCCCCTCCATGACATCCACCCCCCCCAGTCATCGCCCCCCTCTTTCCCGCCCCCGAGGCTCTCCTGGCTGCCCCTCTCCCCCCCGGGGCGACTTCGCGTCGATCTTGGACTGGAGCTTGGCGGGGTTGTAGTAGAGGAGCACCAGGTACCTGCGCCGGCGGGGCCCTCGCCCTCTGCCCCCCCCCCCGGAGGCTTCCCAGGCAGGAGATCGAGCAGGGGACCGGCCACGAGATCGATTCCCCCCCCACCCCCAAGCAACAACTCCTCTCTCTCTCTCCTCCCTCCTCCTCCCCCTCCTCCTCCTCCTCCTCCTCCTCCGCCTCCTCCTCCTCCTCCGCCTCCGCCTCCTCCTCCGCCTCCTCCGCCTCCTCCTCCGCCTCCTCCTCTTCCTTTTCCTCCTCTTCCTCGTCCTCCTCCGCTTAGAACCTACGCAGCCCCCCGCAGTCGCGGATACAAGAGTGAGGGGGCGGCGGTGACATCTGCAGTCTGCGAGGCTCTGAAGAAGCCCGCCGCAGGCGCCTCATGCTCACAAATTATACAGCGAGTCCGCCGCAGGCGCCGATTTTCCGTTAAAGCAGTGTGCGTGGGTCGCGGGGTGGGTCGCGGGTGGGTCGCGGGTGGGTCGCGGATGGGTCGCGGGCGGGTCGCAGGCGGATCGCGGGCGGGTCGCGGGTGGGTCGCGGGGTGGGTCGCGGGGTGGGTCGCGGGGTGGGTCGCGGGGTGGCTCGCTGGGCGGGTCGCTGGGCGGGTCGCTGGGCGGGTCGCGGGTGGGTCGCGGGTGGGTCGCGGTCGCGGGGATGGGTCGCGGGTGGGTCCCGGGTGGGTCGCGGGCGGGTCGTGGGGTGGGTCGCGGACCGGGTCAAGGGGGCACGACGCCAAACAACAAACCAACCAACCACAACCACAACAGCAACAAGAACAACAACACCAATTATCCCAGTGAGACTCTACCTAGGAGTTGGAGCCCCTAGGAAAGCAGCATTAGTAGTAACAGTAAAGCTAAGCTAAAGCTAAGCTAAAGCTAAGCTAAAGCTAAGCTAAAGCCAAGCTAACATCAAGCTAAAGCTAAGCTGAAGCTAAGCTAAAGCTAAGCTAAAGCAAAGCTAAGCTAAAGCTAAGCTAAAGCTAAGCTGAAGATAAGCTGAAGCTAAGATACAGCTAAGCTAAAGCTAAGCTAAAGCTAAGCTAAAGCTGATATAAAGGTAACTTAAAGCTAAGTCAAAGTTAAGCTAAAGCTAAGATAACGCTAAGCTAAAGCTAATGTACAGTTAAGATAAAGCTAAGGTAAAGCTAAGGTAAAGCTAAGATAACGCTAAGATAACGCTAAGCTAATGCTAAGCTAAAGCTAAGCTAAAGCTAAGTTAAAGCTAAGCTAAAGCTAAGCTAAAGCTAAGCTAAAGCTAAGCTAAAGCTAAGCTAAAGCTAAGCTAAAGCTAAAGCTAAAGCTAAAGCTCCCAGGGGACTGGGGGAACCGCTCTGCGGGGACTGGGGGAACCGCCCGGGGCGAGTTGCACTGGCGGCCCCCTTTAAGAAAGAGAGTAAGAACCCTTCTAGGCAGAGCCTAGGTAGGGAATAACAACAACAACCACAACAACACAACCACCACCACTACCAACGACAACAACAATAATAACAATCATTTTACCCGAACGCTCAGTGTTCTCCCCAGTGCCAGGGTTTTCATGCGACGCCAGCCAATACCCCCACTTCGTGGGGGGGCAATGCAAGCTCTACCAAACATCCACACGACTCTCGGGAACCACCCACACCCAGCTTCCCGCCCTATGACGTCAGGACACTTCACTTCGTGGCGCGCGGACGATCGTGGATACTACACTGGCGTGGAGTACACACCCGCAGAGGTTGATCACTTGTTTGGGCCCCGCATGTGCCCCGCATCGTGCATTTGTTGCGCATGACATACATAGTACAAAGACAGAGAGAGAGACAGAGGACAGCGCGCGCGGGTGGAAATTTGGAAAAGTCGTGCAGGTGTTTTTCGAGGACCTACGGTGCGATTCGTGTGATTTTATGATGCGCGGTGCTAAAATTCTTAAAAACCCAATGGTTTTTGGAGATTTCGGCGTGCGCGCGCGAAGAAAAAACGAATGTGTCCCGCATGGTATTATTTGACAGGGATGATGGCCCTGGCAGGTGCGCAACCGTTGTCGCAGAAGTTCGAAAAAGTTGCTCGCAAAAGCCCGTTTGACAGAATTGTTTAAAAAGTGTTGGTTTTCCTACGAATCCGCAAGAGCGCGCGGAAGAACATTTTGACAATTTTTTCTTAAAAAACCATTGGGTTTTTGATGTTTTTATGTTAAAATCGTTACGAAACCTAAGGTTTTGGAAGGATTTCGTCTTGCGCGCACGAATGTCCACTTTACCTTATTTTTTGCAAGGGATTCTTGCAATTTGATCAAGTAAGAACAAGAATTTTCATTTTATAGTATTTTTTACAAGGGAAAGCGGGGGGGAACAAAACAACCGGATCCGGACACAATCGTTTTGCCTGAGACTTCCTCACGAAAATGATGAAAATGTAGCTGCGGCCTAGGCGCGGCGGGGGGGCCGTGCACCAGGGGTCCCAACAATAATTATTCTTAAGAAGAAATAATGTTCAACAACAAAAAAAAGAAGAAGAATCCGCATCGCGGAATCCCCCTTCAGCCACGCACCCAGGGACAGTGAATGACCGTTCGGCCCCACACTCTAACGAAACAACATAGAGCGCGTGCAGATCTACGAAAGTGAGACGTACGTAGATTTCGTAGGTTCGGCGAAGAAAAGCAATGTGTGGATACATCAAGCCTGTAGTCGTTCCTGAACGTTTTCTCCCATTCCAGACCCCCGGGGCTCCCACGGGCCCCAAGAAACTGGCCCTGGGGAGTGCCCCAAGAGGCTAGGACCCATTTCCCTCAGGATCCCCCCAGGGGCATCTGGAAGCCCGAAGAAGCCCCCCAAACGCAAACCAACACACACACACACACACACACACACACACACACACACGCGCGCACACACACACACACCTGGAATCGACCCAGGATCCTAGATCCTCCCCCCGTTCCCCACCCCCCCTCAAGGACGACCCTCGAACCTGCCACCAGGTGCGTCTAGATCAGAACTCCGAAGAGATCCAGCCGTGGCGACGGGGCGATGACCCTGGGGGGGCCACGAACCCGAACCGTGTACGGAATTTGAAACAAACTGTCTTCTGGTACGCGTGCTGCACTGTCCGTCTTCTGAACTACCACCACTACATCCTGCCCTTCCTCCTCCTGCTCCTCTTCCTCCTCCTCTTCCTCCTCGTCCTCCCCCTCCTCTTCCTCTTCCTCCTCCTCCTCCTCATCACATCATCACCATCAGTATCAATATCAGCATCCACATCACCATCATCATCAAAATCATATCCAGCGCTAGCAGCATCATCATAAACATCACCACCACGACCACCACCACCGCCACCATCATCATCAGCATCATCATCATCATCATCATCATCACCATCACCATCACCAGCATCAGCCTCAGCCTCATCGTCATCGTCATCATCATCATCATCAGCAGCAGCAGCATCATCATCATCATCATGATCATCATCAGCATCATCATCCTTATCATCACGGGCATCACCATCATCACCACCGTCACCAATATCATCAGCGTCCTCATCCTCATCCGCATCCCAATCCTCTCCTCATCAGCATTATCAGCACCATCATCATAATCAGCAGCATCACCATCATCAGTATTACTATCATGAGTATCATTCTAGTTGTTACTATTATATTCGTAATATCATTAGCATCCTTATTATTACCTATACGACCACCCTTCGGGTGGTGATATGGAGGATCGGAGGAGAGGGGAAACCAACGTCTCATTCAATCGCTCTCACATCGATCAAAGTCTCGACCTCACAATAGATCTCAGCATCAATCCCACAGTTGATGTCACTATCGATCTTACAACAGATCTCACGAACGATATCACAATCGATCTCACTGCCGACATGACAATCGAACTCACAGTCGATCTAACAAGTGATCTCACGATCGATCTCACAACAGATCGCACTGTCGATCTCATCATCGATCTGGCAATCGAACTCGCTATCGATCTCACATCTGGACTCACTATCGATCTCGCATCCGTTCTCACTATCGGTCTCACGATCGATCTCACTATCGATCTCACAATCGATCTCACCATCGATCTCACCATCGATTTCACAGTCGACCTCACAATCGATCTCACAAGAGATCTCAGTATCGATCTCACTTTCGATCCAACTATACATCTCACGAGCGATCTCACCATCGATCTCACAACAGATCTCACTATCGATCTGACAACAGATCCCACGATCGATCTCACAACAGATCGCACTGTCGATCTCACAACCTCACCATCGATCTGACAATCGAACTCACTATCGATCTCACATTCGGACTCACTTTCAACCTCACAACAGTTCTCACTATCGGTCTCATTATCGATCTCACAATCAATCTCATTATCGACCTCAATATCGATCTCACAATCGATCTCACTATCTATCCCACTATCGATCTCACCGCCGCGCCACCGAACTGAACACCCCGCGCCACCGACGGGACACCCCGCGCCACCAACAGGACACCGCCGCACCACCGACGGGACACCGCCGCGCCACCGACGGGACACCGCCGCGCCACCGACGGGACACCGACGGGACACTGCGCGCCCGCGCGCCCACGCAGATTCGCCTCGCCCGCACGCACGACACGAACACGAAGCCGAAACCGATGTACGGGTAGTTCCCGGTGGGGGGCTCTCCGTTTCACTGCGATCTCACCCCCTCACCTCCGATCATCATCATAATCCTGACTCCTGTCCCTCTTTGTCGCCCATCCGCCTTCCTCCTCTTCTTAGATGTCCTTCTCATCACCTGCCTCGTCTTGCACCCATCCCCCCCCTCCTCCTCCTCATCATCATCATCTTCGTCCTCCTCCTCCACTTTCATTTTTTCTCTTTCTCTCTCTCTCTCTCTCTCTCTCTCTCTCTCATTCTCTCTCTCCTGCTTTCGTCTTCTTCGCCCCCCCGACCTCACCCCGTGAAAGCCGTGGACACGTGAAAACACGTGCCCCTCGCGCATGCGCCAGGCGCA